TGTGTTTGCATATGTATATTTGAATGTACACTTGTATCTGTTATTCTTGCAGAAGAACACAGAATTTTATCATCTTCACAAAGTAGATTACTGCATTTTATACTAGAAAAATAGTACAAAATAGCATTTTTCACTGCTTTTGGTTATCTTCTTGTCTAAAAACAAACATATCTTACTCAGTGCTACTAAGGTTAGCAAGTTGGCATAGTAATTAGCTTAAAAAAAGTTAATTATTTTTGAAGAAACTTACTATATAAAGTCATAAGCAGTAAAAATCATCCTAAACTCTCTCTTCTATCTTCATCCACTTTTGTTTAAGACTAATTTAGTAATTCAAGTTGAGCCAGAAGGAAGAGAAAAAGGAACATAGCAAAACACAGCATGTGTGAAAATCTACAAGCATTAGATAGCTAAAGAAACCCTAAGTCCCTCAGTGTTGCAGTAAGGTCAAAACCTTTCAGCATTGTACCAGTGTGTCAAAATATGTCAACAAACCATCATACTTCAAGAAGAAGAATGACCTTTCAGTTCTTTATGTTTGGGCTGCTTTGGATACTGGGTATGCATGAACAGTTTTCCTACCCACTTGACAAATGTAACTCCCAAGATTTCTTCCAAGTCAAGTTGTTACAATGGTTTTCAATTCACCAAAACAATTTTTTAAACCATCGGCAACTGAAGAATACTATACTTGTTAACAGAACAGCCATCTATAAACCCACAGCAGATCTCCCTCTTCCCCTAAGACCAATCAGACAACAATTATTACTTCAACAGTCTTCACAGTAACCTGTTAAAAACAATTTAAAGAGATTAATAGCAAAAAATGCATGTAATTCTGATCGCCTGATTCAGACTTTGCTTACATACAATCCATCCTTACTGTCAACTGTAAATTAATTTGAACACAACGCTTTTCTCACAAAGACCTAGGAACACATGATCTGTGTTTGTGTTGTGAAATACAATCCTTTGCATCATTTTTGTTTGCACTTATCTGAATTAAATACCCTTTTATTAATCTACAGGGCTCTATGATTATTTAATAATTTTACTATGACTTATAGCTATAAACTGAAGTCCCAAGATCAGGCTTAATTAACAACACAATGAATTTAGGCTTCAAAGAAGTGTGATTATTATTTTAAAATTACTTACAGGAAACTTGCTATTATTTATTCTTTCAAAAAAGCAGAAGCACAGGACTAAACATTTAGAATGCAAACAAATGGTGGAAGGAATTTAGTACAGAGATGAGTTACCATTTTTATTCAAAGAGAAGATGAAATGTTTCTTTTTCACTATGTGAAATTGTCTTTAGTTTAATCACAGTGTCAAATATGACATTTTCCTATGTTTTTCCTCACCTATTGTAAAGTTTCTTTAGCTAATAATGATGTCAAGCTATCTCCTGGGACTCTCTAGAAATTACATTCCAGACTGTACATATGCCTTAGCCATGCTTCAAGAGGATAGAAAATGTAAATTGCTGTGTTTGAGTTTGTATCTTACAGCAAGTCAATGACAGTGCATCGACTAATTACTGTTTGAACCATGTGTTGCTGATCTGTATATCCTTAGAAATCAGCAGTCATGCCTGTCAGCTCTGACTACCAGACTTTTACAGCTAGGACTCCAATTTTTAATTTAAGTTTAAAATAAGTAATAAAATCAGACATTTTGGAGAAAAGAAAAAGAAACAGCAACATTCATCTAAACCCTAAAACAATTTACAACATGTTCACAGACCCCATTTTAAAATGCAATCTGAGTAACGTGCTGTTCATGCTCTCCAAATTACCTCTGGTCACATTAACTATTCAATAGCTTTTATTCTCATAGTTACAACAAATACACTAATGTAGACCAGTGACAAATGAAAAGTGTAGTATCTACTACTTGGGCACAAAGCAATTCTATTTTGTACATGGAGTTTCTTTGTTTACCTAGTGGCAGTGTAAGCTACAGTCTGCTCAGTGGATGCCACTGCTCTGGAGGAATAAACATACTGGTTTATACTTCCCCCCTTCTGGAGGGAAGTATATTAATCACTTTTTACTAAGTTTATCTAGTATATAAAATAGCTTTTTTCCCTAAAACATAACTCTGCAAAATCAATCTGGAAACATGGAAGACCAAACTTGCCTTTACATATTTCTTTATTATTGAAAAATCTCAATATCTAAACAACATCTTAAATTATAACTGTGCAAATTCACTGACAAGGTATACTTTGTACATTTTTAATGTGAAGCTTAATTTGAAGATGAGGTTGCAGTGCACCACTGCAACTGAAAATTGCTTAACAATACCATTGATGTATGAGCCATAAAAAACCTCACTAAGCTGTCCCTGCAGAACTCAGAGTAATAAAAAGGTGTTCTTCTGCACTGAGGTGAACAGACATGGTTGACTGCATCTAGGGAGCTGTTCTGTTAAATGAGAAAGTGCCATTTCTTTCCTGTCAGTACAGACCAATTTAAGACATTCACAGATTTAGTTAGCACAAAGTACAGGATTTAATGAAATACACACATAACAGCAAACAAGCCCCAGCTATGTTCAAAGCTTTCAGTCAGATTCTGAATAAAACTCATCTTACATCTGTGACATGTGAGAAAAGAACATAGAAATTTTTCCAGTTTGACTTACGATTTTTAGATAAGCAATAAAAAAGCTGAACAGAAAAGGTCTAAATCCTCTCACTTCCATTCCTTTCAAAGTATCTAGATTTTTGTTCCTATCCCCATCTAACAGGTGAATTTCATTTCTGCTTCAAGTTCAACCAATAGATCAGGTTTAAATAATCCTAAACTATTACTTCAGTGTCATTTCATCTCTATTGTGAACTCATGCTTGCTCTCCAAATAATTTCTTTCACGAGGAAAGGAGACACAAAGGTGTGGTAAATTGACTGAGAATCTGGTTGTCTTTTGAGAGACCTCTGCATAGACTGATTAAATAATACAAAATTGGTTCACAGTTTGTGCAGTTACACCTGTGTTCTTTCATATAAATAGTTCCAGAGACAAGAAAGTGAACTGTCTAACATACATACAAGCCTAACCTGTCAACATGTGTTCATTAACTCAACTGTCATTTATTAGACACTACAGTAATTCAGAACTCACTTCAGAAGATGTGGCTCTGTCAGCTTGGCCAAGCAATACCAAAATTAAAACTAACAGGATTTATTCTTTAAAAAATCCCCACAAAAATCTACCTAATTTCCATAATTAACCTAAATTTTTGATTTGGGGTGTAACTAATCTTACTATGGAGAGTTCTAGTTTCCTTTATACAAATGTAAATTCATTATATTTAAGAATCAACCATTTTGGTAGTTGTTTCCCATACAAACAGCTGGAAGAGTAGATTTAGAAAAATACCAAAATTACTTCCAAAATGTTTTATTGATCCATGTATCATTCCAGTCTAGCTTTTGCAACATTAAAGATACTTGACTAACAGCACAGTGAGAGATGTTATTCCATTTTTGAATTTGAATTATTAATTGGTCCATGTTAAAATTAAAATGAAGTTAGCAACAACTTGGTTTCTTGATAAGCGCGTAAGAGAAGTTTCCTTTGGAAATGTCAGATGCAAATGGTGCACACTATTCTCAGATGTTTTACACGAAAATGAGGATAGACCCTCCACAGCACAAAAAAAAAAAAGAGGCAGAAACTGCAATGGTGATTTTATTACAAAGAACAACTGGATCAGTGCCTTCATTTTACCTGTCAATGCAAGTTTCACCACATCTCAACTTTGTATCTTTAAGCTCAAGTTATCAGTTTAAAATTCACTTCTTGGAGGTATTCTTCTCTGATACCATAATGGATGCCTTCAAATACACCCTTTACACTCAGAAAATATTCCTGTACATCTCAGTACATCTAATAGTCTTCTTCCAGCCTGAGCTGCTCCATTTCCTTTACACTGGTGTGCAGATTCAGCACTGTTTGCATCAAAATCTTTCCTGCCATTCTCACCATTTGCCTAGATATTGTATATACTCAATTTTCTACAACTCTTCTAGACTACAATATCATCATGCAACAGTCGACAGCCTTCCACGTTTCCCATTACCTTGACGCAAGTTTTCCAATTCTCTGCTTTCTGGGACTGTCAAGTAAGAGCAGGTCATTTTCATATCAATCAAGAATGTTGAGAATAATTCTGCAGAGTGTAATTCTACATATTGATGATGTTATTATCAAGATCTGTTTTCCCTTTCGCTGCTGCCTTCTATTGAACCTGCTTTTAAGGTATGGTATTTCCAAAGGTAATGCAATTTATTTTCACATTCAGCGGAAATACTAATGGTCACCAGACTAGTCTCTGATATTGACACATGTTCACACACTTGTGCCATGTTCTCCACCATCCCTCTAATGGTCTCTTGTGGACACTGAGAAGATTTCTAAATTTTTGCTTTAAAAAAATCCGTTATTGAAATTGTAATTTGCCTTACTGTCTTGCTTAGAGTTCTAATACATAGAAAAATGGCATTGAAAATGAAGCACTGGAAAAAATACTCCAGTGAGGAGGTGTCCAGTACCATGGACACCTTTCCATGGTATTTCCCCCTTTATCCTGCAAATACTTACTGCATTTTCAACTTGAAGATAACTGTAATTATTGCTTCAAATGTACAAAAGAAATACTTTATTAATAAATAACCACTGTGAAACAGTACTGTCCTACTTACAATTACAATGAGCAGTGATGTGCTTTGTACACAAATCCCACTTGGTTAGACTGGGAAGATTTTTTAACAAATTTGTTACTTTGCACATATTACAGAACATTACAACCTGACTTTGTAAGTCAGGTATTAAAAAAATATAACTTCTGTACCAAAATAACTTACTCTGTCACCTGGCATGACTGTAAAATCACCATATATAATTGCTGCATGTTAACAATTAACATCTCAATTTTTCTTTTTAAAATGAAGTCCTATTTATCCATAAGGAAAAAGAATAGAAATATACCTGTTCCAGTAGCTCCAAAACTGGTCCTGCAAGTGGGCTTGGTGGCTACTTTCATCACCAAATGAGGCTTTGCTTTCAATCCAGTGAATTATGTGTCCTTCCACAGCTATGGTGACAGTAGAAAATAGACTGAACTCTGAAAATCACACTCAACAGCCTCTAAGATTGTGTTAGGGAACATTCTGTTTACTCCACAATCATGCTCCATAATTCATGCTTGTAACTGTGTTACATATTTGTAAAAAATATCTTTCAAATATGTACATAAGGCATTTAAAAGAACACCAGAAAATACTTTTAACAGATAATCACATGAATTTCAGTTTAATTACACCGTGTTCCACACATCTGCATTTATTTTAACAGAAAGAGAATGCAAATAAAAAGAGATTAGACTAAGAAGCAGTTGTATTCTTCTACTACCCTTACTTTGTTAGAAGGTAGTTGTCAGGTAAGAAATTGGAAACTTCTGCTGAATTATAAAAACAGTTAGCTAAGCTGCTAAAGACAGACACTTGCAACCAATCCAGAATGGAAGGTATAAGAAAGAGAAGGAAATTTATCCTGGACATGTGTCTGCTTCCTTTCTTTTGTAAAACCAGCAATGTTTAATCAGAAAGAAGTTAGGAATAAGAAGGCTTATGTGGAAAAAAATGTGGTTTTGAATTTGTTTCTTTCTATGCTTTGATATTTGCTTTGGTTCATGTCTTTCCTAATTTCTTGCAGGAGTGAACTACTAATATTAATAAAAGAATAATTTTTTTAAAAAGGAATGTCCTCTCTGAAACTGACAAAGTAATTTCACAGAAAAAATAATGAGCATCACTCTAAGAGACCATTCTTTCTCCAAAAAGTTGTTGTTGGGTATTATTGCTAATATCTTTAAAAATGTTACCTTTGAGTTACCTACAATATCTACAACCATCATGCTTTAGTCTAAATTTGACTTGGATTGACGTTTTCAGAGAACATGCAAACCTAGAAGCACTACACAGAAAGATTACAAGACGCTATAGCAGCAAATGATTGATCACAGATGGCAAAATTACCCAGGGGATCTGGGAAAATAACTCATGAAGTACCATACTAAGCTCTATGTGCCACCACTACCTTGCTATCAGTAACCCTGTTAACTTGTTTAGGCCTATACCACTACATCCTTCCCCACTCCCAACACCTTTAGAGCCCAGGAGATATAACAGCTGATGTATAATCAGCTCAGAGGCTCTTTCTAAGAAACCTCTGCCTTTCCTAGGTATGTACTGAGTCATAAAGAAAAGAATCCAAGGATTGCTATACCTTAGTTCAGATCAGACAACAGATAGAACATGATTTCCTGTAAGTCTCAAGTGATATAATAATTTAATAATTTGAAAGAAACAATGCACTATTATTATTTGAATTTGAGACAAATATATGCAAACGAATTAATGACTATTTTTAACCTTCTTTCTTATAGGGTAACATTACAAAAATAATATTTTGAGTGTTCCCTGGTTTCCCCTCTCAAGAATTAAAAAAAATAGCTGCTTTTCTAGTTTCTTTTTTATCAGGCTCTGGAATACATGGGACATAATCTCATGTTTCTAATATAAACGTGGCTACCCTTAGCACCAAGTATGTACTGTGTTATTATGGTCCCCATTACTGGGCAATCTTACTAATGTATACAACTTTCTGAAGAGCAGGTAAAGAGGGAGGCAGGCTCTTTTCAGTGGTGTCCAGTAACAAGACAAGTGGCAATGGGTACACACTTAAACACAGGAGGCTCCACCTGAACATCAGCAACCACTTTTTCACTATCAGGGTGCCTGAGCATAGGCACATGTCACTTAGAAAGGTTGTGGATTCTCCCTCCTTGCTGATATTCAAGAGCTGTCACATGGCCTCAAGACCAGAAAAGGTAGATGAACTTTAACATGACCTTTATACTTACTTTTTACCTTATTCTTTCTTGCTATTCAGGCTTTTAAAAAAAACAGTAAAGAACTGCAGATTTGTATTTGGATCCAAAGTGATGGCAAAAGAATAACTGCACAATGACAAACCTTTATGCAATGACCTACAGGTGTAATATAATAATCTTCAGACTACTTTGAACTGATTATTTCTAGAAGTAAAAACATTTATAGCTATTTCAGAGTTTAGTTCAGAATACATTAGAGGGAGCAGGGATTTGGGGGTTTTTACTGTTGCTTTTTTTTCCTTTTTTTGATAATGATATAAAAACATGCAAAGACTAAAGAAGAAACACTGGTTAATACAATTTAGGATCAAACCTCTCTGACTCAAATTAGAGGTTCTTAAAATTATTGGGTAACTCCTGAAGAGACTTATTTGCAGTACCCTAGAATATGATTCACTAAGTAGCCATAGTATTTTACCATGGGTACTTCTACACAAAATAATAAAAATTCTTTTAAAAGACTTACCTACTGGCACTTCTAAAATAAAGTCTGGTGTTTTGTCATAACCCTTTGCACGAAGCTGATCTTCAGCTGTACATAGAAAATAAGAACTACTGTTTATAAAACTATTCCATTAAGTAGACAGCAGCATAATTAATTTCATTCTAAATAAGAGTGCAAGAATTACTAATGCAGTCATACGTATCTTTCTTATGCATGCAATGCTGTGTCAGATTAAATGAACCTTTGTAGAAAACCTGAAGCATGGATATAAAAATGCTTCTTTGTCATCCCTGCATTTTTATGTCTTCATTATAAACATCATTAATTCAAGCCGTCATACAGTATTTTATAACCTCCAAATATTCAAAATAAAGAGGTATATTCACTGATTGAAAGAAGAGTCTCTCCACCTTTGGATGTGCTAAGATTAAGCCTACCAACACCACAAATGTAGCTATGCCATCACTCTTGTCTTGGTTTTATTTTTAATGTTAACATAAAGTTGTTAAAGAAAAAAAGCAAGAAAATCTTTCTGTCCCAGAAATTTATCAAAGTAAAGAAGAGTCATAATTTTAGTTTATCTTGCATTCTGGATTCTGTAGAATTTTTATGATTTCTGAACATAAGAAGATTGAGACATTCTGCTAACATTACATCTACAACTTTATTGCTTAAAATCATTAGAGCTGAGTACTTCAAGAAATAATAATGAGTGAGCAAGACAAAACTACAAAAAGCAAAAGATGCTCCCTTTAAAAAAAGAGGAAAAAAAAAAGAAAGGAAAAAGCCCATGCCACCCCTTAATATTTTTAAACTATTGTCCTTGATTTCTGATACCATTACATTGTATTTCTGAAACACCATTCTCCATTAGAATTTGGAGTGACCTGGTCATTCAATTCCAGGCATGGCTTTCTGTCTTCACCCAAGCTCAACTAATGGCACTACCTAGTAACAAGTAAGGCTGTGTAGCCCCTTAACACCTTCTGGGCTGTTGACATTGCCATGCATCCCATTCGCCTTTCTACATCACCTTTGATTAAAATTAATGGTCCATTCTCACTGTTGGGTAGCTTATTTCCAATCCATTTATCAGCTTAGGACAGTAGTTTCATGGCCAATGTTCAGAACTCAGTTTTTGAATACTTTGTGAAAATCCTGAAAGGTCAGCAGTTTGAGTCCCAGTAACATTTTAATGACAAGAAAAACATACTAACTTAAAAATCAAAATACTGTAATATTTCCAAAATCAAACCCTCCAATCTTTTTCATTGAAGAATATAACTCGGAAGCATTTTATACAGTGAACTAATTCTGAAATTGGGATAGAAGTAAATTTGGAAAGCTGAACATTCATGTCAGTATAAATTGCAATAGGTGTTTATTCTTTTTGTGTAGTACTATATATTTTTTTATACATTGTCATGTATACAGATAAATGATGTTAAGATCAAGAAGGTTCTAATTTAACATAATCTCTCAATAGAAAGTTTTATGTCATAACATAAAAATGAATTAATGTTCTATCTAATCTTTTAAAAAACCAACAAAACAACGAGTTAACTGCAACCTGCTCTTAATTGTTTAAAATAATCTAGCATAGACAATAGGATGTCTCAGCTGAAATTTTGTTCATTTAAGAGCAATAGAAATGGAAAGGTCAGTCTTTTCTCTCACATCTAACACATCTAGTACCACAAAATGAGGGAAATGAAACTTAAAAAAATGTACTGAAAGCCGAAACAGATGCAAACACGTTTCACAGGTCAATATGGCAGGTCTCTGAACCAGAGTCTGCGTCACCATTACTTTTAATATTCTTCAGCAGATTATTTTTTCAAGGGTGCCTGATTACTTTTAAAATCTTTTCCTATTAATTCATGACTTGCAAAAGAACATATTTTTTATTTCATATCTGATTCTAAATGTTTTCATATGGTTTCTCCTAGCATTCTGTATTGTAATTAACATTGGAAAACATTAAAAACATGTTTATTATAGATGTATCTGTATGTGCAGAAATAGAACTTTGCATTACTAATTCTCCAAGTGTTTTGAAGCTTTATAACACTGGGAAAGAAATAATTACTGAAACTCCTCACAATCACCATAAAATTTTTATTTTAAACCATAACACCATCAAAAAGAAGTACTAACTTTTCAGCCCAGGTATGTTTCACATTGGTCCAGAAACTACAGAGGCAGCATTCTGCACCTCAAAAGACCTTTAAACTCCAGCATGGATTAAAAAAATAATTCAGTAACTACTTGAAAGCCAGCTCACAGCAGTTTTGACAGTTACATTTATAAATCCTCAGGTCTGAAAATTATGTGGAAACAGACCTAATAAGCAGTTTGTCAACAGATACCCCATTAATTCAGATTTTCAACAAAACTGCAGCTTCATATTTACCATAATGTTACACTCAATCAGAACCATTTAACACATCATTGTTCTTATATAGCCCTCCTCTGTTGATGCATGAATGAGCTACAACTACAAATTTAAGATTACAGCAGAAAACACTGATCAGATTTCACGATTTATATCCACTAGTGGGAACCAAAGGAGGATAAAGCTCAGTACCTCCCCATATATCTAAAAGCTTTCCTAACATATTCATGGTAAAGATACAAAAATAAAAATCCCATACGGAACTTAGAAGCTGGTGGCATTTCAGTATGGCATGTGAATCTGTGAGCCTGTTTTGACAAAATGCTTCTATTGATCACTTTAATCTCAGGCCAAGTAATAAAGACTGGAGGGCTGTGTTTTTGCTGAAAAGAGGACATGGTATATGAAGCACTTCTCATGAAGTGTGAATTAATAAAATGTAACCCCCATTAGCTTGTATAGGTTTCTAGTCAATTACAGGGTGAGCCTGAAGGTGTCACTTCTAATCTGTAGGCTTTGAAAGCCAACTGCTCTGGACACAGACAAATTCTGTCCAGAACCCAAAAAGCTGCTTCATGCTCAAAGACTATAGTGAGGCACTTCATGTCCACTGTGTCCTTTGACTGTACTTTCCTCTCCTCTCTCAGGTGAACACATTTGATACAGTGGAATAGTATACTAATATTGGAACTGCAATATTTCCGTTTCTTTGAAATGTGTTAAAAAGTAATGGAATTACAAGCCATAAGCCATGTAAATCATAAGCCTTCTTCAAAACAGGAATGAAGTATTATGCAACAAAGCCTGAATTTGTAGACCTATGGGAAATACTGGCATCTCTTCTGTTTTTCTGGTGTTTTCTTCAAGCATTTTTGGAACTAGTTTTTCAAAAAGGAAAGGTTGGGGGACCTTTGCAAGGGACTTGGTAGGGTTCATCTTGCAGATACTTGGGAAAGTTTTTTTTAAGAATATCCCAAACACATCTAAAACTTGAAATACATACATAATCACAGACAAAAATACAAATCTTAACATATCTTAAATCATGACTAAACAATACTTCACTATATAAAAAATGTGAACAGCAAATTGAGCTTTCATTTCTATCTTCATATTCTAACAAGTTAACCCATTTCTAGATGTTTTAATTCGATAGCACAAGTTTCTTGGAGCTAATTTCTAAAGACAAAATTGATGTTTATGAAACAGTAAAATTTAAATGTGATTTTTATACTGCTTAAGCTTAAACAAGCCAAATAAAATGATAATTCATTGGGTTGAGGATCCCTTAGTGAGTCATCCAGTCCATTTCCTTGCATCGTGATGGAATTGATTTCATTATCAGCTTTGATAGATGAGTGTCAAATCCAGCCTTGAATTTTTCATTGAAGGTGATCCCACAACCGTCCCTGGCAGTTTTTTTTTTTACACTTATTGTTCCTAGAACTGTTTGGTATTTTAATTTGCCATCATATCTGCAATTACAGCTTAAGCCTTTTACCTGTATCTGCACTCTTACAGTCAAATAAGAAACCTACCTCTTCTAATTTTCATACTGTCATTTGCAAGCTTGTTATGTGATAGTTAATCCTGTCCTTTTTTCACTTTTCTCTAAAATAAAAGAGCACACTAATTCTGTTCTTAAAAAGCTCTATAACACTTTCTAACTTCTTAAATTTGTTTAAGGTTTCCAAAATCTTGACCTGATCTTCTGACAGCTTCAGGAGAGATCACAGCTCCAGGTAAACCCAGCAAAATTCACACAAATTTAGTACAATGCTCAACCATTAACAGAAGACAGCATTTCACTTCACTTCACTGTCATCCACCACATAAGAAATCCAAGATTTAAGAAGTCATTGTTTGTGATCACATTTACAGAATGGATACTTTAAACATTAATCTTTGTTTCAACAGCTCTTATGTAAAAGAAACCTACTACAGGCTAAAATCAAAAAATGGAAGTAACTTCCTAACTAATTAATCCTTAAAGCAACTTTAAAAATTGTGAGTGCAAAAAAGAGTAATTGCATTGATTGGGAAGCAGGGGGCAAAAATTCAGCAGAAACTGCACAGCAAGGAAAATGAGTGAATCTTCGAGCAGTTCTTTAATACATAAAGCATTCTGAAGCTAATATTTCATATGCTTCTTCCTAAATCTCATAAGGCCTGGATTATGGCTAATATCTCATGACACCAAAAGTAATACTGCAGCAGATATTAAAGCATTTTTTTCAGCTACTTATTCTATAAAATATTAATTGCAAGCCTGAGCATGTGCTGTATATATAGTGTATTAGGTAACAGAGTTCCTGCTCAGTTCTAAATCAATAAAAGATAACATATATAGCATCAATCATATTTTACTCTTCCTTTACTACCTAATATAAGGAGCATTTGTGCTGAATTTTTTCCTAGATAAACAGTTACTAACACCTCTGAAGTTAAGAATTTACTGGATAGCCTCTGTTACAGATTCTTACCTATGAAAGAGAGATTTTTTTCCAAAAGCATTTCTCGCAGCAAGACTTCGTGCTCATGCCCAATAGCACTGATAGCTTTAGGTTAAGAAACAGAGGATTACTTTGGAAAACAGAAACATCATTAATTTATTTGCCTTCATCTGCATTTCAGAAGTGACCAGTGATTTGAACTCTAAGTTTTGAAAATCCTTGTGACTTTTAGAAGCATACATAACTTTGCAATAATCAGATTATTGTACCAACAGCATACACTTCATAGAATTAAAACCCATTTGACCATAGTTATTCAGTACATTTAAGGGCATTATTTCAATTTTTTCTTTAGTGGTTATTCTTCTAAGTATAAAAGAAAGTGTGATCCTAAAACATGCAGCAAAATACCTTTAAAGTTGCACTTTACTGACTCCAATTCTCCAATCCATCAAAGGATGAAACAAACTGATTTTCTTTCTTTATATCCTGAAATTGATAGGTACTACATTCATCTGAAACATCTTACTGTAAAAAAAACATCCTTTTAATTGATTTTTCAGAAGCATGAACTAATATCAGGGAAGGATGAAATAATATTTTATAGTGAAGTCCTTTTCACTTCACTGACAGCCTGTTGATCCAATGTGCTATTCCTTGCAATATGTAAAAAAATCACCATATTAAATATTTTTAATGTATCCTCTTGGAGGTCAAAGTTCGATTCTGGAAGCTTTTAAGAAGAATCCTATGGAACAATATAATAAAAGATATTACATTAAAAGCAATTAAGCTCCAAATTCTGTTTAAAGTAACTTCTTAAAACCTAAACTACAGATCATCTTGCCATTACTCTTAGTTACTTAACTTATATGAACCCTTCATACTGAACAGCAAACAATTCTATGGAATCACTTCTTATGTACATACAGCTTATATCAATTGAAACTCTTATTTTGTTAAACTCTACTAACAACTTCAGAACAAAAGGGACAAATGAAGAATGGCAAAAAGGTAAGAAAAATACCACAAACAGAATTTACAACGCAGCACAAGCAAAAACATTTAGTCTATAATAATACCTGTTATTGATACATGGCAATGACCATGGGGCAAAACTTGTAAATAACATCACAAGCCATTTTCTACTCATGCAATCTAGCAGCCTAGTTTCCCGTAAGCATCTGAACTATTACTGAAAAATAGCCTCTTGGCATTTACAAAGAGGTTGACTTCATACTTTGGTCCATGCATATACAATTAGATAGTTATATTTAAAATCAATACGCAATCCTTCAGAAGACATTACGCTTTTAAAACCTTAACTTTAAATTGATTTTTAACTATTTTATGCACCTCAAAATTAACATCTAATTCAGCAACATACTTGCAGTAATGCACTCACACAGCTTAGTATGAAACTTTTCTGTACCAGAATTGAATTGAAAAACTCCTCATTACTCTCATTGATGCCACTGCATATTCAACAACCAATTTGAGCCAGAATATGAGGAGGATATAAAAATCTTTTCTAAACTGCAAGAAACTAAGTTTAAAAATGGTTCAAAATTCTACATATGTGTCTTTGTTACTTTTAAACATGGCACTTTCCTAAGACTGCAGCCAGACTGCTCAGCCACAAAATATTAATCTTAAAATTCTGGATATGAAAACCAGTGATCAATAACCCTTTAAAATGTGTGGCTTATTAGATTAATCCACTTTCAGAGCACTTTGTTTAATCATGAAGATAATCTCAATTAATATTTAAAATTACAATTAAAAGCACAAAATACAAAGACAATTAGAACTCTATCCTGCTGCTGTTAAAATCAATGATGGTAAGGCTGAGGATGTAGTAGACACAAGTGTTTCTAGCAGAAAGTATTTTTAAGGAGTGACAATCACCTGTATCACAACTACATGAAGTAGTTTTTAATTGATACTAAATATTCACTGCAGCTTTCCTATCTGGCACCTCTACAGTGAAACCAAGATTTCCCCCCAAACTGCATGCAGAGATTCAGGCAAGGATTCTCTAGGACTTGGGAAGGATGTGCCTTACTAGCCTGCTCACTGATAGCAGGCCATGATTTTTTTGACCACAGACTGCAACAGAAGTGATGCTCCTGCAGAATTTTATTAAAACAGATTTGTGTTCTATGTGATCATTCCTACCAAATTACAGTCTTAGTCTGGAATACCCAATGCCACGTGGAGTTCCCTCATGCACACACCATATGGATCTCTAATTAACTATTTCAACACTACAAAAAAATATCCCTGAAAATTCAGGATATATAAGGTTTTTTTACTACAGCTAAATCTCCTTTAATAAGAACAGAAAATAAAAGAACTGGAGTGTCAGATGGGAGTTTAAAAATACTAATCAGTCAATCACACCTGACCTGCACCAGAAAAAAATTCAGTTAAAACTCATATTCATAACAAAGCAAAGCCATAATGTTGAACACTATGTATGAAACTTATTAATTTAATCACAGATTAACTAAGATTGGAAAGTATCTCCAGAGATCATCTAGTCCAACTCCACCAGTCAAAGCATGCTCACTTAGTCTTAAGCAAAAACCAGATATACATTTCAACTGATCAAAACCAAAGAGGTTAAATCAGGCATATGAACGTGTAACCAGCAAACTGCCATCTCCCCATGGTCCATCTGATTTTTGTTAGTTAAGAGAAAGCTCTGCAGTGACCCCCTAGCTGACTGAATGTAAAAGAGAGGAGTATGAAATGTGTTTTGTGAAGCAGAACTTTATGTCAGGTTAAAGCTAGACACATCTCTTCCACACAGTCTAAGCTCATCAATTGTGAACCTAAAATTTTATGGGAAAGGATACTGTTTGATGCAGTCCACCAGTGGTCCATAACAACAGTCATTCACAGTACACTGCAGACAAATAAGAGAAGTAGTATACTGATGGGCAAGTACAAAACCATTATAGTTAAAGTGTATCTTAAAAACAGTAATTACTTTTCCTCAAAAAGGCTATCAGATGCTGTTCAGATTTAATCACAGAAAACAAAACCTGCATGCTTTTATTCACTATAAAAGCAAGCTATTAAAAAGTGAAATGCTCCCCTCACAAATATTGCACTACCATTTATAGTGCACTCTGACCTCACTGATAGTTTATGATGACAGTAATTAAATGAGGTTTAAAATCTTTTACTCTGCTAGGCAGATAACAAAATTGCCACAGGAAAAAAAAAAACAAACCAAACAAAACAAGTGTGATTAATACCTGATAGACTTGATTTGCTAGCACTCCATCTGGAATCTGAGAAGGGTCCCGTAGCATGCTATTTATAAGAGTTTTGGAGGCTACAGAAATAAAAATTAAAAAAATACAAAAAACCTGTTAGCTCAGTTACACTTTATTAATAAAAACTGATAACTGATGTTATTAATAATTTTGAAAATTATCCACCCAGCAAATACAAACTTACAAATTCATATGTACTTACCTATTCTGATACAATTATCTCTAAAGTCTTGAAACACCCAAGGATTTTATCAGCCCAAGGTGAAAGCGGGCTGTTATTTACTTAGTTCTACTGGACAGTTTGTGCTTTAGATACAGCTTCTAAGGAAACTGCTTAACATACACTAAGTGTAACTCAAAACAACCTTCATATCCTATTAGAAGAGATGTAAAAATTCTAAACAGCCTATAAGAAACTTTTTAAGGACTTCAATTTATTAGTTTCCAAATTCAAGTATTTACTTACTCAGGGTGACACATTTTTCTGAGTGCATTTCAGAGCTGGGAAAAGGCTTTCTCTGCTTTTTTGAAATGTACAAATGTAAGTAAAAAGAACTAAGAAGCTAATTTTAGCACCTATCTTTTTTTTTTAATTACAGATATTGATATTACAATGAAAAAATAATGTAAAAAGGGAGATAAAGTTAGTTTATTTTCAAATAGTCTTAGCAATCCTTGGCATTGTTTCCTTTCCATGTGCTTAGGCTGGGTACTTGCAAATACTAATTACTAATAGCAGTGGAAAGACTTTATTTTAGAAAAATACCTTCTAAAAACATCAAGTATTTAAAAATTTCTCAGAGACACGTCAACACTGCACATGCTGCCTCTGTCCTGGGAACAATCTCTGATGGAGCTCAGCTGGTGGTGTATTTACATCTTTGAATCCTTATGTGTAGATCAGGTTTGAGAATAGCAAGGTTTCCCACTTTGCCAAAGATTTCCTGCATGACTTCAGAGTAATTCCATTAAGCTGTGTGTGCTTCAATCCTGTAAACAAAATGAAAAACTACTCTTTCTGTTCTTCATCTGTTTTGCCCTAACTCAGAGCCAAAGCTTTGTCATGGTCTTCAGTAACTGAACCAAAAGACTCAGGTGACACTGTGAAAAGGATTGACAGAGCCTGTGACACGAAGGGATCTGCCATATATGCAGCAATGCGGCTGTCAATGGATGCATGTAAGTACCTCCCTGAAAGTAAAGGAGACTGCTATTGTAATTTACTCCACAAGCTACCTCTTAAAAGCATTACATTCAGATGAACGTAGCATTTGCAAGAAAATAATTTATTTAGGAAACTATACCACATGAGGCAGAGAACAAGTTTACAGGCTTTGCAAGAGCTACAAAGAGATATAATCACAGGCAGGAGCAAAAGTTTGTGCAAATATTTTTAATGACAATGATTTCCACTAAGCAAAAACATATCCAGAAGCAACACACCACATGATATCTATATATCTTATTACTCTAATATGAAATAAATGTTAATTTTGTAAGTTAATACTAAGAATAAATAAGCATTTTACCTTAGCCTTTGTACTCTGTTAAAAATACAAATTTTGCTTAGCCTAAAAACTTTGAAAATGTGAAATAATAGGTGGTGTGCATATTTACATTACTAAAACTAAAAATTAAAACAATAACCATTTATCACTTGGTAGGAATAATATACAAGTAACAGTTTGCCAGTAGAGAGGTTGATAGAATGGTAAAATAATTAAGAGTGTAACAGAGAAGTCACTGCTTTGAAGGGCTACTGATCTAGATATTATTTGATTATGAAAAATTAAGTATTTTTATGACTAATCAAACTCCAGAAAAACACCACAGATTTACCTTTGGAAATGTTTAACTGAATACTGTTTTGAGTAATGAGCTACAGGTACAAAATAAATTTCCTCTATTTCTGAGACTATCAACTTACGTTTCTCAATTCTCGTTACCAGATATTCTATTCTTTACTTCTATCAGAGTAATAATGAATTTACATACTGAATTTTATATTAGGCTGATGTCACACTGGTTCTAATAGCTGTTAAACTACGCTTCTAAAAGAAAAGATATCAAACAGAACTGATTACTATACTGGCTTTGAATATAGTACCTCTTTTTCTTATATAAAGATTATCTGCTTATGTAACATCCTGCAAAATTGAGAAAAATTCACCCAACATATTCTTACCAGCTTTGCATTATCTATGCAGCTAAGATAAGGTACCTTCAACTGCAATTACTGTTTCAAGAAAGCCAGTTACTGTAGTGGCAGCATCTCAGCAAGGCTGACTGTATAGAAACTGAAATGGCATAGAAGTGCTAAGGTTTTTATGTGAACAATAATGCCAGTAAGAAAATAACATTTATTGAAACACTATTCTTACTTAATCAAAAGTAAGATGACACTGGTTAAATATTTACACTAAAGCACGTCATCTGCTCTTCTTTCTCAAGCTGCTACACTAACTTCTAGTTGTGGTCAAACTGAATTATCAGTGGAATATAATAAGAAAAGGTGGGATGTAATATAGTTTCTTTTAAATGAAGAAATTACTTCTGTTTGCATTGCAACTATGCAAACATTACAGCAACAATTTAATTACAGTTCTGCAGATTTTAGCAGAAATAACCATAGTGCACCTAACAATATGAAATTCATGTAAAGAAGACTTCTGTAAATGTAGTAGTTCAAAGGAGATAAAGAACAGCTCATATTTACATTTTAACACAGCTGCATTAAGGTTACTGTGATGGCCTTGTGAACTTACATCTTGCTGTTCTTGTGTTATAGGAGGAAAAAGGGCTGATGTGAGAACAAAGTACTGTCAGCAATCTACCCTTTAAACTGCTTAGACCTGGAAGGCACTCTCATTGCTTTATTTCCTTGCTCATTTTTCTCCAAGATTGGTACATCTGAACTACCTTTCTACAGATCTATA